AACCCCAAAACCCTAAACCCGAAGCAACTCGACTTGGACCAATCCGCCTGCCAGTCGCTGCTCTTTTCACAGGCACTGATGGCTGAACCATACGAGGTTGCCTTGAACTGCGGCAGGGTTTTAGGGGTTTCGGGGTTTAGGGGTTGAGGGGTTTAGGTTCTAGGTTTAGTTTAGGGTTTAGAGGCTTAGGGGTTTAGGGTTTAGGGGTTTAGGGCCTCAAACTCAAAGTATTACCAAACTATAGCAACCCAATGCCTAAGCCCTACACTCTAACCGCCAAGCCCTCTTTGCAGCCCAACATAAAACATACCTCCAACCCCTATTCTAGTTGTAAAGGCCTCTATACTAACCATCATAGAACCCTTTGAGAAAACCCTATTCTAATTAGTAAGGCCCTCAGTGCGCGAAAGGCTGGGTCTTGGAAAAAGCAAGTCACGGTAGGCTGCATTTGGGCAGCTGCCAAGCCTGACAAAATCATCAAAGCCAATTGCCAGAATCCGTTCTTCCTTGGTTCTTGCTAATTGAAGGGGATGTTAGGGCTTTGTGAAGCAATTCGCAGTACAGGTTTTGAAAGGGCTTTGGAGGGTATGTTAGGGCTCTAAGGAACTCGCTCACACATTTGCATCCCCTTAACCAAGACCCAGTCTCTCGCAGGCACTGATTGTGGCGTTGAAGCTGATGATATCCGGCAAAAGTCGGGCCGAAGGCATTGAACTGAACAGCTGCAAAGCCATCTCCCATGGCCCATGCTTGGCAACGGCGGTGATCGTAGCATTGAAGCTAATCTCGTCATGTCTCACTCTGAAATCTTTCATCTCCGATAGGAGTTGAAGGGCAAGCCCCCAGTTCCCTGCCTTTTCGCAGGCACTTATGGTCGTGTTGAAGCCTTAGTTGCTGAGTTCATCAGCCCTTCTAGAGTGTAAGCTTTCAGTACTACCGGGGGATAGTCTTATCCCCGAAAATGCGAAGTTCGCCCATTCGGCTGCTAAGAAGCTTATCACGTTCACGGCCATCCTGGCTGTCCGCATTTCCGAAAGCAGGTGATGGGCCAGCTGCCACTGTGCAGCCTCCTCGCAGGCACTAATCGCAGCATTGAAGCTGACGACCTGGGCTTTGTTTCAGATACTTAGGGCTTTGGGTTTAGGTGCTGCTATGGATAACTTAAGGCTTAAGGCTTATAATAGGTGCTGCTATGGATAACTCAGGGCTTAAGGTTTAGGTTCTGCTACGGCAGGTACTTCCCGAAATCATGATGTACTTCCAAATCTAGAAACGCTACGGTCTTCTGTATAGTTACTTGGTTGTAGGACCCTTTGGGTACGGAACTTAGTACTTCATTCACCTTGCCAAAACAAAATGTACAGCCGCACAGCTTGTTCTGGCACTAAGATGCTTGCTTAAGAAGTGTGATGTAACTAACTTGACATATGCTGCATATGCTCATTGAAAGTCAGGAACGTCCGCTTCCATCCCTCGCGCTTGCATCGTCTCGAAGAAATCGAGAGCCAGTTGCCACTTACCTGCCCTGCAGGCGCTGATGCTAGCACTGTAGGTGATCCGGTTAGGCACCACTTGAAATCTGGCCATCTCTGCGTGTAGTAGCAGAACTTGCTCCCACAAGCCAGACGGCTCACCTTACTTCCCCAATAAACCGGGCAAATAAAAGATTAAACTTTCCGATTTTTACTAAATTTCAAGAACCCGAAAGGTTTAAAGGTCGGATATTGGGGAACCAAGTCACATGCACTGATGGCAGCACTGAAGCTAATCACGTCCGAGGTCAGACCTGCGCCAGACATCGCAGTGAGAAGCTCCAATACCAGCTGCCACTGTCCTCCTTTGTGGCAAGCGCTCATGGCTGCATTGAAGGTAATCACGTTTGCAGAGATCTTCAGGGTATTATATGAATGCAAAAGGTCGAGTGCCACCCGCCATTCTCCAGCTTTCTCGCATGTACTAATCGCTGAGTTCAGAGTGATCGCGTTGCAGAGGATTGCAGCTCGCCGCATGGCTGAGATCAGGGCCAGAGCCATCTGCCACTCCCCGCTTGACTCGCAGGCACTGACGACTGTGCCGAAGCTCACCACTGTGGCTGCAAGCCGGACCCGTGGCATGTCGGACAGCAGATGATGTGCAAGCTGCCAAAGGCCAGGTCTGGCACAGGCACCTAGTCCCCGGAGGACCTAAAAGGTAGATCCCCTAATTTGGGATCCTAACGACTAAAGGGTACTGTAGAGGAACCCCCTTAAGGGATCTACTTTTTGAATCCTCCCGGGGGTCTGGGTAGGGGTTCCGTAGTAATTAGCATAGGGCTCCTTTCGGGTCTTTAAAAGGTGCTATGCGGGTTCACCTCATGCATTTATCATTGGAATGGTCCGGGCAGGTTATACTCATAACGAGAAACATTATGGAAACGAGCCATGACCCAAAAGCCCTTAAGCATAGTTACAAACCCTAAGGGTCCATGTACCCAAATAGAGATACTTTGGCCTTAAAGTAGTCCCTATATAGGTACTTTGGGGCCAATGTATATCCTATATGAGTACATGGACCCTTAGGGAAACCTAGGCACTCATGGTTGCATTGAAGCTGATCGCATCTGCGGCCGAGCTGGCCCCTTGCATGTCTGAGAAGAGATGCAGGGCCGATCTCCACTGCCCTTCCCTGTCCTTGGTTGCTATGGCATGGGAGGCCTTGTAGAGTTTAGGGTTCAGGATTTAGGGTTTAGGGCCATCTTTATACGATACCTTTGAACCCTGAAGAAGACAGCTACAGTACTAGTTTTTTCAAGCAGCTGCAATCTGTGATTTAAGGTTTAGGCTTTGTCCAAGGGTTCTGAAGCCGTGCTCTGAATCGCTGTAAGGTCCAAGATTGAGGATTAGGGCTTCCAGTGTACCTTGAGCTACAATAGCCTACTCTTGGTAGGTTCTAAATATACACCTAAATACGTAAGAGATATAGGCATCCTTACAAACAATTAGGATTCGGTAACTTAAGGTTCAAAGTTTATGCCCTTTCCCATCACTAGTCCGTGGTTGGAACCGCAACGTATGAAAAGTTAAACTGCCATTACTTCTTGGGCTTACGGGCTTAAACCTATAAAAACGCTTCCCAACCCTAAACCCTAAACCCTCTATATGAGTAGTTTTCTAAATTAGGGTCCCTTTTGGGGTCCTTTTTGTAAGGGTGCCGTACTATATTGGGGACCTAAACAGGGACCCTAATTTAGAGAACTACCCATATGACAAAGATTATAGGTTTTGAGTTTGCAGGTTTGGGCGCTTGGGCTCAAGGGTTTAAGGTCAAGCAGGTTCGACAGCCTGGGGCTTATGGGGCTTAGGATTTATTAGGGTTGAGGGGTTAGGGCTGAGGGGCAAACCAGGATGATGAGGAACAAAGTACAGTCAAGAATGGCAAGCACGCATGAAAGAAAGTAGGGGACTGCAGATCCCAGTATCGTACGCAGATATCGTCGCATTGAAGCTGATGACATCTGTGGCAATTCTGATGAGAGGCATGTGACCAAACAGTGACAGTGCTGCCTGCCATTCCCTGGCTTTCATGGCGGCGCTTGCAGAAGAATTCAGCATAACCTTCACATGCCGTGTCTTGTGTATCCCTCAGGCTTTAAGGACTCATGCCCAAAGGCCATACTATGTAAGGCTTTTGGGCCATTTTGAGCCTTAGGGTATGGGGAAAGCCTTCAAGCCGAGCAACGGAAAAACTGAACCCTGCCTTTGCGCAACCCACCAGTAAAACAAAACACTGCCTGCCACAGACTTGACACAAACCCTTACCCTAAGGCTCAAAATATCCCAAAAAGCCTTATCTAGTATGGTCTTTAGTCCCCTCAGGCTCAAAATATCCCAAAAGCCTTATCTAGTATGGTCTTTAGTCCTCAGCCCTAAGGGTCCAAGTACCCATTATTTAAGGACTTTGGGGCCTTTTTGGGGTACCTAAAACCATAAATAAGGACTACTTGGACCCTTAGGGTGTCATTCTAATCACCGTACTTGCCTCAGGTTTGTCTAGTATGGTCTTCCTAAACCCTAAACCCTGAACCCTAAACCCTAAACCCTTTAGTCCTCAGAGCCTTAGGGCCAGTCCAAGCCGCGACATTCAGATCAAGCCTTTGGTCGGGGGCGCTCGCCAGAACTCGAAATGCCACTTGCCAAGAGTGTGCCTTCTCGCAACTGCTTATGACCTTACGTCTCCAATACTCTTGGGTTCAGGGTTTAGGGTTTAGGAATACACAAGGTTTCAGGGTTTAAGGTAAGAATACTACTATCGTCAGTTGAAGAACACAAGCTATGGCGCGCCTTTGGGAATTGTATACGGCATATGCTACCTTGATAGAAGCATAACATTTTAAATTTACGCCCCAATTTTCCCAGGAACACTCAGAAGACACTTTCAGAAAAAAAACACTACGCTGCAGAAAACCAGAAAAGCACAGAGTGGACATTGGAACACCCCGAATATAGGGGCCTTAATAATTAGAATAGGGTTTGGGGGGCCCTTACACCTAAAAAAAAAAAAGGAACCCCCAAAATCGTATAGGTAACTATTTAGGCTCCTATATTCCTCCTCATTGTAGTTCCTTTTTGGGAATAGTTCACAAGATCAAGAACCATAACGTTGGTTACAGAAACAAGGAACTACAATGGAGACTTTAGGCAAAGTGACAGCACCTATGTCAAAGATACTCAGCGGGACGTTCCTTGTCGAAAAGTCGTCGAGACAGCCACAGGCCAGGATCCAGGGACTGATGGTCAAGGGGCTGCGTCCTGCTCAGGGCTTCGGTTTAGGGTTTAGGAGTTTAGAGTTTAGGGTTTAGGGTTTAGGAGTTTAGAGTTTAGGGGTTTAGGGTTTAGGGAAACAGGTTTGGTGGGACGTCATACATACTTTAGTGGACTACTATGTTGTACTCCGAACCCTGTATCACAGGGTTTAATTCAAAGCGCCCCTGTTAAGATACCTACAACTCTGATGACAATCGACTTTGCCTCCAAATGGTCTTCCGGTTGCAGAGTCCAACGCTGCGGCAGTAGGCTGCATCCTTCACCAGATGGTACACATGGCATCATCTCAGGGATACAGCGCCGCTGGGAGCCACGTGTATGCACGTGTGTGTGTGTATATATATATATATTTATTTATTTATATATATATATATATGCAACATATGTATGCATACATATATATATATATAGAGAGAGAGAGAGAGAAAGAAATCCATCTAACTATATATCCTAAACTGATATGCAGCCCGCATACACCTAAACCCTATAAACCCTACAAGATGTCCTCAATCTCTTGTAGAGCCCTAAAGCCCTTAAGTCCCTCTAAGCCCTTAAGCCCCTGAACCCCAAGGGTCCAAGTACCCCATAAACATATACTCTCCCAAATAGCAACCTATACAACTACTATCCGAAACCTGAGTATCTTGTTGTTAGGTCCTTTGGACCCTTACTTGGAGGTTCATGGGTAGGTATAAGTGGGGTTCTAAGTCCCCTAATACGGGTTATAATTATAGCTACCCTACATATAACCCTACTTATAACTACCCATGAACCTCCAAGTAGGGTAAAGCCCTTAAGCCTAAACCCTAAACCCTAAACCCTAAACCCCTAAACCCTAAACCCTAACTTAAGCCCCTTCAAAACCTTTGGGTTTCCCCGGTGTCCAGGGGTCCATTTTTCTCGGGATGTCGGCTCCCTGCTTTAGGGCCTCCTTGTTGTTTTGCTTGGGGTTTAGGGGGTTTGGGTTTAGGGTTTAGGGATTTCGGGTTTAGGGGTTTAGGGGTTTCGGGTTTAAAATTTAAGGGTTTCGGATCTAGGGGTTTCGGGTTTAGGGGTTTAGAGTTTAGGGGTTTAGGGTTTAGGGGGGCCTGGGGGGTCATGGGACTTTGGGATCCTTCTAGTCTAAAGGGTTCTTTTACACCTAGAGGGTTTAGGGTTTGAGGTTTAGGGTTTTCGGGTTTTAGGGTTTATCCTAAGCCTTATCTAGTATGGTCTTTGGGCCCAAAAGCCTTAAAATAGGAGTCCTCAGGGCGTTAGGGTAAGGGTTTACGGTTTAGGGTTCAGGGCCCCTTGATAAGGGATCTTTAAGGGTTCCTCCACAGGGATCTCCAAGGGTTCTATAGTGGTTCCTTTAAAGCCTAGATTCCCGTTTAGGGTTTAGGGTTCATGGCTTTGATACTTCAGGGTTGACGGGTTTGGGGAGTTAGGGAGTTCAGGATTTAGGAGCGTTTTGGGGTTTAGGGGTTTGGGTCCTTAGGGTTATTTAGGGTTTAGAGTTTAGGGTTTAGGGTTCAGGGGGTTTAGGATTTAGGGAGCTGGAGGGCTATTTAAGTCTAAAGCCTACACCCCAAACCTTTCCGGCCTAAGGGCTTCAGGATGTTTAGGGGTTGAGGGTTTATGGATTTAATGTAGGGCCCCAAACGATTACCTATACTATTTTGGGGGCTCCTGAACATATTTACAATATTATCATGGGCCCCGAAACCCTATTTTAATTAAGGCCCCCTAAACCCGAAATGCTTTTCGTCCCTATTCTGATTACCAATTCAGGGCCCCTACCTTATAGAACCCTTAAAGATCCCTTATAGAACCCTTCATTTCAGGATCCCTAAACCCTAAACCCTAAACCCTAAACCCTAAACCCTTTAAGGGAACCCCTAGTCTAATTAGTAAGGCCGCTATAATAGGGATTAAGGGGGTTGAGGGCTTCTGGTGCTCAAGGATGCTTCTGGTTGAAGGCTTAGGGGTTTAGAGTTTAGGGTTTAGGGTCTAGCGTTTAGGGTTTAGGGTTTGGGTTCAG